TAAGGGACTGAAATAAGCCATGGCAAAGAAGGAAGTGTTGGTTTCTTTACAAGAAGTCATTCCATTCCTAGTAATGGTTTATCTTTGGCTGTGCTTGAGCTACAATGATATTAAAAACCTGGGGTACTTGGTGTGTTCTGTTACAGATATAACCACCCATGCAGTGGTTGTTCAGCCAGCAGAGAGCTATTTCCCTGATACTTTCCTTTCTCTCCCAGGGAGGAATGATTTCATTTATGGCTCCTAGAGCCAGAAGACTCAATTTATAGCAAAAAGATAAAAGAAAAATATGAAAAAATGTCCTCAGTCCCTTTTCCCCCTGCTCCCTTATCACCTTCTTGTCAGCCTTGTTTCTCAGGGCACTGAATTCAGACATTATAAACCTAATGGAGGTTATAAACTTATATTAGAACTTTCCATAGCCAAATATTATGTTGCATAAGGGAAATGTGATTATCTTTTATTGTAATTTGTACAATGTCTCATGCATTAGGTTTTAAATCAGTGAATGTGCCAGACAGGCAGAGATTGGGGTGAATATCCTATTCCAGAGCAGCCAGAATCGATAGAGGTTTTACACTGAGGGAGTTCCATTAGTTCCTTCCAATTTGAACCTGTGCTAATATGCATTCAAGTGAGGAGCATCTTCCTAACAGCCTCTGATGCATGTGTTGGTAATTTCAGCTGCCATGGATTTAGGTGTTCATTAGCATTTAGTTGTAGCTGAAAACACACTGATTGAATTTGAACTTCAAGGTGGCTGGCATGCACACTGCCCCGAAGTTTTCACCTCCATTGGATAAACAAATGAGTACAAGGATTAATGGATTTAATTAATCTAGAGCTGTAATAGTGCTGGTGTGGTGCTCAGGTGTATTTTTGTCATCTTGGCTGACTTTGAACATGATACTTTAAAAATATTAACCAGGAGCATCTTCAGTGTGCACGGGGCACTTGTGGGTGTGCAGGGAACGGTTCCATAGTGAAGAAAGACAATTTCTTCTCTAATTTCCAGTGTGTAAATCAATTTGGGTTTGTTCAGTTTATTTGCTTGGTTATATTGGCACTTTTATAATATTTTCAGAGTGTCTTGCAGTATTTCTCACTTGTGGCTTTGCTGGCTTCCTGTCAAGTCAGTAAGTGAAGTAGAATTGCAGGATGATTTCTCTAGGCTTTCAGTGGCATTTGAAATATCTCTTATAGCCACCTGGTAGAACATCTAAAAAATCATTTAGCTCCAAATATTATGTGAATTTAAGGGAGTGCATATGGAGTGTTTTACTGAAAGAAACCAAAGCACATTAAAAAAATTCTAAAAAATTCCAAGGACCATAATTAGAAGATACTTAAGGGAGGATAAAATGCTAGAAATATTTGTTCAGTTCTAGTGAGCTGTGACCAACTTTTTTTGTCTGTAATCCTTTCTGTCCCTATTGCCCCCAAAAGAGGAGGAGATGGCAAAATAAAAGGACATAATAAAAATGACAGGTACAATCAAAAGCAGTCTCTGAAGGAAGAGATTAAAGTATATGGATTCTTCTGAGCATTTGAGATTTGGCAGCATATTAAAGAGAAGGCTGAAGGAGGTAGACTGAAGACATTATCTTTTTCTTTTTACCTAAGAACAAGGAGCCATTCAATTAAATCAAAACCAACAGAGTTAAATTGATAACAGGAAGTGTGTCTCTTTGAATGTTTTCTGTTTGCAGATTTTTGCCACAATGTGCCATTGAAAGGGGAAGAATAAAGAGGCCAAGCTTAGACCAAGAATTTGGCAAAATATTTTTTTCCCAGTGGTTGCTTAGGGAATATTTGGCGATACAGTTGGCCATGAGCTTGTGAGGCTGAGGAAGGAAGAGGGAAAACTTCTGGCCTGTGGAGAATAAGGACTACATGAACAACATGTTGGTACCAAGAACACACTTTCTACACGCAAAGGAGAATTTCTCTCTCTTCAAAATAAAGTGTTTCTATTGATGCTGGTTCTGTATGGAAGAGAAAAGCAGAGGAAATTGATGTGGGAAGAAAGGAGAATTGTGTGTGTGAATGTGGGCTGGCCCCAGCAATCCTGGCTCCAGAACCACTGTGGAGAAGGGTGGTCCCCATTCCCAATCTTCCAGTGATCTCCCTAGGGAATATTTCTTGTCGTGGTGGAGATCTGTGTGTGTCTTCTTGAATTGAGGAAGTGAAAAAGCAGATGGCTGATGTCAGAGTGCATTTCCCCTTCAGACTGTATTTACCCTTTTCTCAGATGAGAGCACATTGTGTGTTTGTTGTTAATTGTGTATCATAGCCATCATTCGGGTTAATTTATTTGTAAATACAATACTTACATAAGAGAAGTTGTAGCTGCAGCAGGAATGTGGGTGTAAAGGTCCAGAGGCAGAGTATGGTTAAACTTCCAGGCAGTGAGTGACCAGGGATGGGTATATTTCTTCTGTGGCCTCAGTGAGACAACCTGCTGCTTCCTGTGCAGCAACTATCACTGATGTGTTGCTCCAGTGCAGGAGCTGTGAGGTGGCAGCTCAGTGGAGCCGTCCCCGCTGTCTTGACAAAACCCCTTTTAAATTTTTTTTAAACATTTTGATTCCACTGTGTTGCTGCTGGGCTTGAGGAGGGCTCTGCCCACTCTGGGTTAAATGCAGATAGATATCAGAGACACAGTGTGGTCCCTTTTAGAATGGGCATTTCTAATCAGCAACTGAGGCAATCTAACTGGGAAAAAGAGCATTTGACTTGGGGAAAGCAACTGGAAAAACCTACAGGAATAAAGTCTGCTCCTTGGTAACAAAATCTCAAAGCAAACAAAATAACAACAACGGCAGTGGGTCCTCAAAGTGAGAAGGGTGGAGAATAACAGGAAGGGAATGGGAAGCAGTAAGTGCCTTGGGAAGTGGATGTTGAGCTGGGCTCTGCCTTTATTTGCAACATCTTGGCTCCAGCAGGTTTCAGTGCAAGTAGGCGAGCCATGCAGAGAGCAGTAGCAGAAGATGAGTTGTTTAAATGACTCCCAGCAGTGTGTTTCATAATGTTTTGTGCAAACGTGTTTAGCCCAATAACTTCTGTTGCTGGCACGTGATGTAACGCTGCCAGGGAGGCTGTGCCTGCCTTGTCAAGATGTCATGGAGACAGGGAAGGGCCTCAGTGAAAGCTCTCAGCTGGTGTGAGCAAAGCCAGCCATGCCTCCTGAGGTTGTGCAGGGCATCATCAGGTGCTGCTCCAGCACAGGCATCCCTCCATTCCCAATCAAACTGGGCTGGCATTTATGTCTTTGCTCCTCCCTCTGTAAATCTGTTGTGCTTCAGCCTGAGTTCAGTGAGAAATACAAAGGCATGGTGGGTCTTTCTGTGTGAAATCTTCCTCTGTGAGGTTCAGAAAACTGATTTTACATAGTGGTGCTGTAAAGGAAAAAAACCAATTTTAGTTTGTCCATGTGCACTTTGATATTGTGGCTGTGTTGAGCTAATACATCTACACTAACACACATTCCTGTTTGGGCAAAACCTGTTATTGCCTTGTGAATGCATGCAGTGCCATTAAGCTTATTTATTTATTTATTGTGTTATAATAATGCTGATATTCTTTATTTGCTAATATAAATGGGGGAGGGAAAGATTGTGCAGCTTTGGTTAGACAGCAATGCAGTTAGAGAATTTTTTTGTAGATTCCTGAACACTCTGCAAGTGTGGCAAGGTTAGTCATAAAGTTATTTAAATAAGTTATTAAGTAACTGGTTATGCAGCCTCATTCAAATTAATGAATGCAAGAGTAGATTTCTTTGAAAGCAGGCAGTAATTTCTCTGTGTGCATTAATCTAACAATTGTGTTTCTGTTGCCTTCCTGGTGTTTTTCCTAGTAATCAGGAAAGCAGTGGGAAGTAATTTTTTGTCGATTATGCAATAGTTAGAAGGTAAACATGCTGTGAGTTTAGGAACAGCCTCATGTAGTTAATGGGGGTATATTTCTGAGGATGTGGGTATGTACTGAAACCTCTGTGTGTGTGACTGTAAAGGAGTAAATCTGCAGGTTTCACCACCTTTTTTTCTCACTGGGTTTTGATGATGATTTGACCACGTCTCTTCACAGAATAAGGATGATTGCTCAGCTGTTAACCACAGAAGAGTCTGTCTGTGAGGATATTCCTGTGCACAGAGGTGTCCCTGTTCCCTTACGATGCACATACAGTGAGTGATTTTATTTTAGCTCTTTTATTCCTGACCCTCCCAGCTGTGTAAATGCTCACTGTGAATCAGCTCAAAGATAAGTCCACCAGTAGGTTTTCAAAAGTGATCCACCCATCCATTTTTGTATTATTTTTCTCTCAGTTGCCTACTTTACAAGGAAAAATAATTCTGCAGTTTTCACTGACAGTGGGTTAATGTAAGGGAGTGTTTTGGGGTCCATGTTGGGATTCCTCAAGTTCAATGTTCTCTCTTCAGCCTCAGCTACTTAGTTTTTACATATCTGCCAACACCACATCCTGTAAGAATCCATGTAGCCTTGGAAATAGTCAACAAAGCCCTACATGGCCTGGGAAAGTGGCAGCAGAAATGTCAGTGCCAGCTCTGCCAGCATGTTTTGTGTGCTTGCATTATCACGATTTAACTCCCATCAGTAAGCTTTGTACAGAAACAGTTTCAAATTGGACAAATCTCAAGTTTTCACAAATCAGGGCTTGACAGAAGAAGAAATGTAATGTCCCCTCTTAGAAATAATGAAGCAGTGGGCAGACATTGCATTTTTGTGTAGGAATAAATACTTGCTCTGGCTGTTTTCCTCCTAAATAATCAAACCTACCCACCAGATTGTATTTGGAAGCACTTACTAATGTGACATGCTCTGTTTTAACTGTTCAGAGAAATGACTGAAAGTTTTTAAGATGAGACAACATGAATCATAGTCTTGAGCGGCTGTTCACTTTTGTGATTGACTTGCCTCCTTCCTACGTTCCTTTTAGTCACCCTGGGAATCGCTGAAGCTGTTCTGTGCAGGAGGCATTGCTGAGATTCCCCTTGCAGCAATGGACTTGGACAAACAATCCGTGTGGGGATCCCTGAAGCAGAAGACGCGGCCGTTCCTGCGAAACCTGAGCGTGAGGAAGACGAAGAAGAGGTCTGGCAAGATGCTGGAGAGGAAGGGCCACTCCTTGGACCGCTGTCTCAGCGTGTCCGTGCCTGACATGCTGGAGGTGGACACCCTCATGGAAGAGGAGGAAGAAGAAGAAATTACTTACACGGACGCTCAGGTGTTGTCGAGCTGCTCCCCCAAGAGCTTTTCCAGGTCTGTGGTGTCCCTGAAGAGCAGAAACACTTCGGTGAAGGCAGCGGGAGAGGACTGGCTGTGGGCGTCACAGCAGAGGACGCGGACGGAGGTGACAGTCACCCCCCCAGACATGCAAGACGTGGGCATTCAGCTGGTGTCCTCAAGAGGAGCTGAGGCCGTGGGCAGCCCCGTGTCTGAGGGGAAGAAGAGGAGATCCAGCGAGGACCTCTTTGAGCTGCTGCAGAGCTCCCGGCTGAGTGCCACGCTGAGTGACGAGGGGACAGAGGTGGGTGCTGGAGCAGCAGTGAGGCTCAGCCGCCACCTCCTGTGGGCTCCTTGTGCTTCTCCTTCATTTTCTGGGTTAAAAAGGGATGGAGGATCCAACCAAGGCCAGGCTGTACAGGGCTCTGATCAGCCTGGTGTAGTGGGAGATGTCCCTGCCCATGAGGTGAGCTTTAAGACTCTTTCCCACCTGAAGCGTTCTGTGAGGAGGGGGCTCTGTTCAAGAAATGAATGAGCAATGCAAATAAGCCCAAACTTTACATGATATACACATTATTCAAGACTAGTTCAGCTATCCTTCCTGTCAGTCTGGAGCTGCAAATAACACTGCTCCAATTTTTTAGTTCTTTTAGTATTCTTCTGTTATTTGTAATGATACCTGAGATTTTTCAACTCTGTTGGAATTGCTCAAATCAACAGTTGTTGCAGTTCTCTGAGCTCAGAATTGAGGTGCTGATACATTTGCTTTCTAGTTAATATAATTACCAGGATTGCTATGTAGCACTATCAATTTGCCACCCACCCACTGAAGGCTCTGATGAAGGCAATAGGTGAATGATAGCTGTTAGCAAGGTGAGCTCTGCCTCTTCCAGGAAGCACAAGATGGAGAACAGAACATGTAGCATCATTCTCAGGACTGTTTTTTGGGTTTTTGTGATGATGATTTAAGGAGGTGAAAAACTAAAATGTTTTCTCTGCACTGTCTTGTCCCCCTTTCCTTCCCCCTGCTCTGTGCTCAGTATTTGTGTCTGGACATAAATGACCCAGGAGGATCAGAGACCAATACTGTCACGAAACTAATTCCTGCCTGGCCTGAGCAAGTTGGGAATCCTGAGGAGCTCTATGATAGCTTCATTATATCGACAGGAGGTGAAGATTGTGGCTGCAGGAAACACTTCAGGCAAAATTTGTTTTAGTTAGATTTTGTGGAAGTATGTCTGCTCCTGTTGAGTTCTCTCTGAGAGGGTTACATTTTCAACTTTCTGAGGCCTTTTTCTTATTACCTGATTGTTGCAGTTGTGGGAGCTGCCTCTGTAGTCGTCCAAGATGTTAAAATGGGAAATGGGCGTTTTTTGTTTCAAATCTTCCCTTGGGAATAGGGATTTCACAGGTTAATTGTTTTTTTTTAACTTTAATCCTTCTAAAGGATGATTAGCATTGATGTGGGGAAAGTGGTCTTTTCTGATATAAACTGCTTGTTTTGCATCTCAGAGACCTGTGTATTCCTACCAAATGGGTGTTGGCTCCCAGTCTGTTGTGAGGCAGAGTGTCAGACTGGTAGTTACTGACCATCACTTGCGGTTTAGAGTTGCTAAATTGTTCACAAATTGGTTTCATCTTGCTAGAGTGTTCATTATTTTGAAGTCTACTTAAGAAAAGAAACTGAAATAGTACAGTGCTTTGTTTCTCTGCTCAAGCGTTACTCAAAAGTTGTAGCACATCACTTGGTATATGGTAAATATATGGACTCTAGTTATTTTGTAAGTTTTTCCAAGTTGTTTTAATGATAGCAGCCGTTTTTTCCTGCTGTTGTATGCCAGAAGCCCTAATTTAAAATCTGCCCCAGGACAACAAAGTTAATACTAAGTCCTGCTTTGATTTTGGGTGAACTGAGTGTTCTAGGAGAATGAAGTACCTGTATAGTGATGAAACAGCTTAACCTCAAGTTAAGTTTCATCCAGATGCACAATCTGAGTCTGGCTTATTTTCTGCAGCACTTAAACCTTTCCCTAAATGTGTATTTCTGTATTTGCTGTGTAAATATAAATGTGTGTAAATCATTCGGTATCTGCTTGTATGGCAAATCATCTCTCTGTGTGAATATGCTTCCTTACTGTTATCTGCCTCCAGTGCAATTTATAAAGATCTTTCTCCTCGAGAATAAAAGGAGAGAGTGAAGCAAAGGAAAGTAGAAATAAGGAGAATTGAGCAAATTTAATTACATTGAATCTGGTGAAAAACAAATTCAATATTGGAAGGTGTCCATGGCAGAGAGGGTGGAGCTAAATGATGTGTAAGCCCTTCCAACCCAAGCCTCAATATTCTATGATTCTATGACAACTCAGTATTCGGCTTTCCTTGTACTTAATTGAACAGCTACCGGGTTTGTGCTGTGCTTGCCTGGGATAGGAATAGTTTGTTAGGGGACTGTGGTCCCTGAATGCTGGGTGGGGTTGCTCTGAGGAGCACAAGAGTTCCCATTGTTCTTGTGTGAGCATCACTCCCTGCCCAGGGAGGTAAATCAGAGGGAAGGCAGATCCCTGGAACAAAACAAACTAAAAAAAGCAGAAATGTAGGCTGAGCTCTTTTCCCCCCTGAATTGCTTGTCACATGCCACCTACTCATTTCCTGGTTGTCTTTGGCCACCCGATTCCGTGAGATCAGCGTGTGCTTGTGGTTTTCTCACTTGTGTGAACTCCCCTGCAGAGCTCAGCACAGCCCATCTTCACCAAGGCTCTGCCCAAACACCATTTTCCCATTTGTGAGAGGTTTGCTCTCTGTTCCCCATTGCACCCAGCTAGGCAAGGCTGAAGAAGCGGGTGAAGTTGTGTTGAATCCCTGCGTGATTCAGGTTGTAAAAGGTTCCTGTAATGCCATTTTTTTTTTTGCCATTGGGTTTCGTCCATGGCCAGTGTCATTGCTGAAGCGCTCTGATATCTCTTTATCTCCCTGCCAACACTTTGCAGTGAGTCACTGTCCTGGTTTAAGGCGAATTTGGGCAACCCAAGGCCTTGTCCTGTTGCAGATGCACTCAGTGGTTTTGTATTTTGAATACTTCTTCTGCAGAAACCAAGGGGAGGCAGAGGTGGGAACGCTTGTAAAGAAGAACTTTCAATTTATGTATATTCATACATACTCTTGCTTGATTTGTTTTCATGCAAATATATTTGGGGCTGTGACCCCTCTGGGTGTGCCCACTTTTGTTTAAAGTTGAGAAGTGTCACTGTAGTTTGATAAAATCAAGGTTTCAGGACTATGTTTTCACCATGACTTTTATCTATATTCAGTGATCTCACTGCAGTTAGCTACCTAGAATAACAGTAATTTATATTATGTGGAGCTAAAATTAAAAAACCCAAGTTTTTCTATTTAAAATTATAATTGTTCAGTATCTGTGGATGTAATGCAAGTAAACAAAAAACAGAATAAAAACAAAATCATAATTTTGGGGGTAATTTTTAAATAAATGGTATCAAGCTAGCCAAGACAATACTTTAAAAATTATTATAATTTCAATGCAGTTCTTTGATCCCGTGTTAGTGCCGTGTAAAACGAGCTGTAAAGAGAGACCATTACCAGTGCCAATGATGGTGCCTGAAGGAGATTCCTGTGAAGCCAGAGATTCCAAGAAACACTAAGTTTAATGCACATGAGTGAGATTTTATGCATACTAGTCAGAAAATTCAAAGTTAGGGTTCCCCTAGCAGCTGTAACTCAGCTCCGTTGTGTGAGAAAATTCTTCTGCCGCTCTTTATGATGATAATTTTTCCACTTTTAATGTGTTTTTGCAAGGTGGCCAAGTTATGATTACTGTGGGAACCATAAAGTTAGATTTTGTCTGTCGTGCAAGGGAAATCTTCCTTGCAATGCTGGATTACTGTACTTCCTGATATCTAATATATGTATTTGCAGGAAGAGGAGGAAAAGAATTGCACAAAGGGTATTTATATTTATTTCAGCATATCAATACAGCCACGATTTATTTACTTTGGTGCAGGAGCTGGTTGACTTTTAAATGTTTCTGTAGTGCTGCCCACAATGCTGCTCTCATTGGGAGAGGTTTGAATGTTCCCACCCTTTCACATGAGGATCGAATTCCACCTTGCGTGCATTTCTGCAGACAGAGACCGCCCTTAGCATAAATCTTTGTGTTTGAACGGCCTGTGATTGCCCTGCATCGGACCAGAGGAGTTTCCCAGGGACCTTGGTCCTCTTCAGCTCTTGGAGCAGCCAGAGGAGCATCAGAGGTGTCCTGGCTGGTGAATCACTTCAGACAGACGTGATGCTGGGCCACTGGAGCCTCAAGGTGTTGGATGAGTCAGTATTTAGGAAGAAATGTTTGAATTCCTCTCCTAAAAAATCCTTTGGATCTTCCAGTTATTGCAGCAAGTTGGGGGAAGTACATGTTTCTCGTATTTTTATTTTCTCTTTTGTTGTGGTTTAACCTACCAGGCAGCTAAATATCACATTTTCTCTCTTACTCCTTGCTCAGTGGGAACCATCATATGCAGGAGAGAATTGAGGGTAAAAGGTAAAATTTAATGGTTAAGATAAAGATAGGAAAGGACAGAAAAGGAAGATTAATAAGGGAGAATAATATTATTATTCTAATAATATTTTATGTATTATAATAGAAAGATATTATAATGCAAAAGTCTAAAAGTTTAATTATATTAATTGTATATTTTATCTAATATTTTAAAACAATGGATATTTTGATAGAAATGATACAGCAGTTGAAGTATTCAAAACAAGTGAGCACAGTGCAATTGTTTATCACCTGCTGACTGATATCCAGCCAGTTCCTCAGCAGAGGGACAGCACTTGTCCAGCAACAGCTAAAAGCATCAGTGTGTTATCAACATTCTTCTCACCCTAAATCCAAAACAGAACACTGTACCAATTACTAGAAGGAAAATTAACTCATCCAAAAACAAGGACACCTTTCCCTTTGACAATTTCTTTGTAACTTTTCCCTTGAGCAATTTTTTTTATCTCAAACCAAACAAAAAAACCCCGCACAAACAACAACAACAAAAAAAACCCAAAAACCCAAGCACCAAACCGAGTTAAAAAAATGATTTAAAAAACCTTTAAGTGGAACTTGCTTTTTGGGTGGTGAAGGAGAAGTTGTGGTCAAGTGAGAGCAGCCGGCTGCCAGACACAACAACCTTCAGACATCAGGAGAGTTTGTGATAAGAACCTTCAGCACCCAGTGCTGGGGAGGAGAAGAAGAAATTTATTCCTAGCTGGAAGCAGGCACTTATTTTTCCTGGATTAAATTCAAGAGACTAAGAGCAGTTACTGCAAAATAGGAAAAAGAAATATATATTTAAATTATTTATAAGCATAAGTAAGAGCATTTCATTCATTACTTGTATGTATGAGTAATTTCTTACTGATGCTAGGAGCATTTTATTTCCTCCATTGTTGTCTAATTCATTGTATCCTTTGTTTTATAGTGCCCGTGTGGAGAAATGGATTTTGACTCTTCCCTGTCATCTCAAAACTTTGATGACCAAATGGTAAGTCCTGTCATTTTGAAACTTGATCAGAAACACAGTTTATTTCAGATTTAGGTTCTTTGCTTCTTACAAATTCAAAAACTCATCAGGTGAAGAGCCCATCTAGAGATTTGCCCAGAGTGTGTTGGGTTTTCTTTTTGTGGGGGTGTTTCAGTCTGTGGGGGATTTGTTTATTTAGTGGTGGATTTGTGTTTTTGTTTGGGTTTTTAGTAGTTCAAAGTGGTTGCTGGTGTTTTGAATAGACCCAAACGTTCTGGATTTTTTGAAGTACTCTATAATATCTATATTGTAACTGATGAGAGCAGCAGCATGAATACTCAAATAACAGTGTAGGAACAAACTGGATTAAAGTAAATACAGCAAGTAACACAGCTGTAGGCTTTGACAGGTAGCAAAATCAGTTTCAGGGCAGTGTGAAGAGGCACTGGCAGTTCTGACATGTTATTCTCATGTAAAACATGTTTGCTTTGTGGATGAACTTCTCTACCTTTGCCCTCTGATAACCTCTCAAGTGCTGTCCAGAGCTGTTTCCACCGAGTGTTCCAGCAGGAGGATGATGCTGAGCTGTGTGACTCTGTGGCAGCACTTCTGATGAGCAGAAATCCTCTTGAGTTTGCTTCTGCTAAAGCTCCCAACCAGCACTGCCTGTCACTGCCCTTCTCTCTTTTGGAGCTGCACAAAGTGCTGTGCTCTCCTCTCAGCAGCTCTGTGAGATGTGTTCTTCCTCCTGAGGTTATCAGGTGGATACAAAGGACTTTCAGGGTCTCTTCCAACTTGAGAGATGCTCTGAATGCACAAGAAACAGCTCAGAAAAAAATGTGCTGATAGAATTTGGAGAACGTGTGCATGCATTTGTGATTCTTATACCATCACTCATTTTCAGGTAAAATCCTTGCTTTGTTGAACATACTTGATGCTGATACTTAGCTACTTGCATAGTGAAGGAAAGCCTGGGAAAGAATTATTTTTTTCTTTTCCCTCTTTTTTTTTCCTGTTTTTTTCTTTTCCTTTCTGTAAAAGGTTGCCCTAAGGAAAGATCAGAACTTTATCTCTGCATAGGCACTGGGAGCACACCTGCCTCGTTTATGATCTGTTTCCAGAGGTGTGTGACTGATTCCTTTGTTCTCCTTAGGCTCTGGAGGAAGCCAATGACTGCCTGAGTGAGCTGCCCAGCCCCTTTGCCTACCTGCTGACCATCCACCTGAAGGAAGGCAGGAACCTGGTTATCAGGGATCGTTGTGGTGAGCCCCACCTTCCCTCTGGCTTCCTGCAGAATTCACACACTTTATCACTTTGTTCACTCCTTTATCACTGATCTGTTTGGCAGCAAGCTGGCTGCTTATCTGCAGTGCAACGAGTCGTGGCCTTGTGTCTCTCCTGCAGGTCAGGGCACTCACAGGTTGGGTTTATCCACCAGGGGAGGGAGCTGCCCTCTGACTGTGCAGCTGCAAAGCTCCTTCTTGGCTGCCCTTAGCACCTGGACCCATTCAGGAACTGCAAGAAATTCTATTTGAGCTTAAAAATAACCTCCAAAGAATAATTGGAGGTTTATTAAATGATGGAACTGCTCTGAGGAGTGCTTTTGGGGTTATCTGCAAAGATGTTAATAAAAGGGGGAACCACAGGAGCAAGGCTGTAAGCCAACAATCCTCTCTAACCTGGGATGTGGCTGAGCAATGACAGCATCCTAAAAACCCAATAACCCACGCCCAGATGATGTATCAAATAAATTATGAAATATTTGGGGAAGTCCTGGAAAAAATGTGTGAAAATGCCTTCCCTTAACCTGGCTTTTATTCAGGATTTTGAAAGAGGGAGTAGAAGTGCTTATGAGCAGCCAGTCACTTGCTGTGGAGGAAGAGCTGCCCTGCCAAAGGCTCTCTGCAGCCTGAGGCAGCAGCTGTGGCAGGACCTTCCATCTGAACCTGTCAGAGAGCTCTTCCATACGTCCAGGCTTGATTTCATATTTTTTTCCTGCATGTGGAAACAGTTCTGGTAGTTTTGTCTTGCAAAATGTCTGAGCAGCTTCTTTTGAGGTGAAGCCATGGGCTTTATTCATTTGGTTTTAAACAAAATAAGCTTACACAGCCTAAAGGCCTGTGAAGGTTGAAGGTTTGCACCTGGAGGGACCTGTCTGGTTTTACATGAGGTGCTGTTGGGATTTCTGTTGTCTGGTATCTCAGTTAACTTTTTCCATGCTGGTTTTTCATGGCTTCCCAAAACAGTAAGTTTTGGTTGAGTGTATGCTTGTTTTTCCTACCAGTTTTTGGAAGGAGTGAACCAGTACTTAGATTAAGATCTTTATGGTTATACAAAAGCCTGAATTTCCTCACAGTGTAGCAGTTAATCAGATTTTACTAGCAGGCTGCACAAGCCAGGACACATCCAACTGCTCCTAGGAAAATGATGCTAGAAATGAGCAATTCCAGCAAAGTAGTATTTCTAGAGAAGACAGAGCATACTTTGCTCTAGGCTGTGTTTTGTTGTGTAAGAAAGCAAATGCTTGTCTTAGAAAAGCATTGGACAGCACAGGGAAACAACATAAGGGGGGAAAAAAATCCCTTTTGATGAGTCTCTGTTGCTTTGTGGCAAATGACCTCTGATTTAGTAAACTGAGTATGTGAGGGGATGCTTTCTTCAGTAAAACTGCTGCTTTTTATTGCACAGGCAGCAGGGGGGGAGGAAACAGTGCCTTAATGATTATTCATCAGTCACCACCATGCTGCAGTGGTGGCTCCTTAAAAAAATAAAAATCCCACAGTGGATGCCCATCATTGCAGGCCTCTGCTGTCACTCTGGTTATGTGACATCTTTGTGTGATGCTGGGGCTTGACCTGCAGCCACTGGGCTTTCTCAAGGTGCCTTTGAAAGTGGGAGGTTGTCAGATCTGCTCATCTCTTCAGTGGGAGAAAGCCCCAGAGATAACTTGTGGGCTGGGAGTGTGAGACTTCCCTCCTCTCCCCTTACCCTGGTGCTGCTTAGAGCTGCTGTGCTGGGGGGTATCAGTGTGCTCTGAATAATTTGAATTTAGCAAAATATTCACACAGACTGAGTGGAGAGTTTATTCCCCAGCATCTTTAGCCTAAATAAGGTTTAAAATAAGTCTTGTAATTTTCCTTAATTTTAATTTTCATTTCTTATGCAATCAGTGATTTATCTGGAAAAAAATCACAAAGCAGTCATCAAACCCATCAGTTTACATATTTTGAGAGAGTTTCTTTATCTACATAAAGATAAAGGAAATGGTATTTAAGTGTGGTGTCCTGCCTTCTTCTCATGTTTGCACTTTCCCCCATAATTTTATTTTACAACAGTTTAAATAGCTCAGGCTTAGGGGCTGCAGTGTGGGTGGGTGATGCCCTCTCCTGGCAGCTGAGTAAAGTCTCTTGTGCTCATGTTCAGTCTGTTTCTGCCTCTGTTTTGTCCCAGTGTAAGAAGTATTTATCTGTGTGTACATGTAAAAATAAATCTAAGGTGGGTGACCAGGGAGAGATATTTCTGACATTGGATATTTCTGATATTTTAGATATTGCTAAAAACCATCCTGGCACTACTCATGAAATTCACAGGTTTCTCCATGAATTTACTCATTATATGCTTAAGTTATTAATTGGGAATAATTATGCTTGGCCAAATAAAGGATGAGCAGGAGTTCCACTTAGAACTGCAGAATTCACTTTTTTCCAACTTTCCCAGTATTTCTTTCTGACTCTTTGCCTCACTATGTACTGCTCTTTCCAGGATCTGTTCCCTTTGGTGTGATATAAATTCCTCCTTCACTTTACCAGATTTTCATTACTTTTTTTTTCCTCTTCATAATATTAATCCTGTTAACATCTGCTCTTTCCTATTTTTTCCTTCACTTTTTACTTCTTGCATTGCTTTTTATCTGTCTCTTGTGTCTCTCCAGTCCCTGACTTTCTGCAGCTCCTCTCCTTGTACTGCCCTCTATAGAGAGGCTGCATCAGTCCAGGACACTGGTTCAGAGATGCATGTGCTTCCTCTAAATTGCACAACAATGTAGAAAAGAAAAAATAAATCAAAGTTTCAGTGTTTTCTTCTCCTCTTTTATCTATTTTTTGAAGGATAAGTGAAAGAAAAAGCCTCTGTACAGCAACACCCAACATACGTGCCCCAGCCAAGGAATCCAAGTGCTGCTAGAGCAGGATCTTAGTTCTGGTGGAAAGAAAAGAAGCTCCAAAAACTCCTTTTTTGGGTCAAAATCAGTGTCTTGTCTGGGATGTAGGATAAGAGAGGTGTTACCTGTTGCTCATCAGCTTGCTTGGAGTCTGATTTACTTGCTTACAGTCTCACCCAGTCACAGAGCAGAAACTGCCTAAACAGATGGAAAATTTGACATGTTACCTGTGTGCACCTTGGGGCCAATGTTAGGCACTGCATGGGTCCTAAATTTATACTTCTTGTAGGGGATGAGCCAAACATTGAAGGTTATGTATATGTGTACATAACAGCCCCAAAAGTTTGATATTTTTATGTATTTTGTGATGTTATTGTTACTAGATGTGTTTCAGTGATGGCAAGGAGTTTGCATCTGTGTAGTTTTAATACTACAGGTATTAAAAGCAGAAATGTATTTTTTTAATTAAAAATCTGTGGAGCACTGCAGCAGCTTGGCAGAATGGAGAGATGATTATTCTCTATCTCATTTGGCATTAAGAAACAATCACTGGTGCTCTAAGTGTTGGCATCTTGTGGCACCCTTAGTGATTTTAGGGCCTTGCTGACCCTTGTTTTGTCAAGTCCAACTTCATGCTTTGAGCTGGGGGAGGCTGGAGCCCATTTCCACCTGCTGGTTCACCTTCACAGGGCAGGATGATGCCTTGTGGTTGTTTGAGTCAACCTGAAGAAATCTCCAAGGTCCTGCTCCCCTTTGGCACTGGGGTGCTCTGGCTGTGCACGTTGCTCCTGATGGAGTCACCCTTCCAGAGCAGTGGACAAAGGGATGCCACAGCTGTAAGGAAGGGCTGCCTTCCTTCAGGTGGCAAAGGCAGCTCTGCTGCTGTAAAAATAAACAGAAACTGGGCTTTGGGTGCCTGTGAGGGTGAGAAGCCCCTCTCATTTCCAAATCATGTGCTTTTAAAGTTCATTTTTCATCTGTTAAACAGTGTAGTTACAAGAAACACAGTTCTCTGATGTGGCTGTGCTTGGTGTCTTTTTTCTTTTTCTTTCCCCTTTAACCACATGTTCCAGCCTGAATTTTGTGTGTGTCTCTTTTCTACCTGGTTTTGTGTTTTGTGGATCTTTTTTATGGGACCTTTGTGCCCTGTCTCTGTTTCTTCCTTTCGGGTTTCATTTGTTTCCTGTTGCTGCACGTTGGTTTTCCTCTCATGATGGAGGCAGTGTGAAGGGAGCAAGGGGAGAAGATGCAACACCTCCATGGGTGCATCCTGCTTTCCTTGTCCTCAGCACATCATCCTCTGCTCTCACATCTCACAGCCCCCACTGCCACAGGTCCTGGGGGCCTCCCTGTGAGATCAGCCTCCCAAGGACAAAACAAAAAGAAAGAAACTTGTAGAATAATATACACTTTTAACTTCCAGCAGCAGTGAGCCTGCAGGAACCCACCACTCATAGCTCTGGGCTATCCAGAAGTTAGACTTTGGTGATCCCAGTGGGTTTTGCCAGCTCAGGGTGTTTTATCATTCTGTGTTTCACTGCCTGGGTCTGTGCTGATACCAGAGTGCCAGAGGAAGAGATGTGTGTGTGCTCTGCTGGGTATTTGTCAGCTTAGAGCAAGTAATTGTTTGGAAAGCAAATGCTCAGAGCAATTAGGCTGAATTGCTCTCTGCAAACATGCTGATTAATTTAGACTTTCTCTGTTTTCAGGGTATCTGCAATTAGATCATTAGGCCTTCAGATTTATTAATTATTGCCATGTATTAGGCAACTTCTCACACTTCTTTTTGAAAGGCGTAATCATGGCTAATTTACAAATGCTGAGAGTTTGGATGGTGCTGAGCACTCGTTTGGATGTTTTCTCTGGATGTTTTTTGGGTGGTTTTTTTTGGATGTGAACAAGGGCTTGTGCTGAGAGTGTCTGACTGTGCCAAGCCCAGTTTCTGGAAGTGCAAAGTGCCTGAAACTTTGCCCTTGGGCACAGTGATCCCTGTGAGCATCCTGCCTGCACTGGTGTGGGAAAGGAATGCACTGAGATAGGAACCTCAGAAAAACAGGAGGAGTTCAAACAAAAGCAATTTATGTGTCTGGAGGAGTTCAAACA